TCCTGCTGATGGTTTTGACAGCTTCCCTTGCATCTGTTATACAAAGAGACTGTTTATGACATAAAAATTAAGAGGCAAATTATTTGATTACAAGTTCACCAGAATTAAATAGACTGGGCATTCAGATTTCTTCACTGTTGCCACAAACCATAAGTCAGATGAAGGCAACAGATCACTCAGAAAATGAAGCAGCTTAAAGTAAGCATCACCTAAAGGTCAAGCCCAGTTTTCTATTATTGAAAAACAAATTGCATTAAAGAATAAGAAATTGCTGATTCCCTTTGTCACACACTTATTATTAGTTACAACTCAAATTAGGATACAAATTCCTAGGACATGAATATAACTAAAATAGGTATTTCAATTTCTACAGAATATCAATTCCTAAAATTATGTTTTAGGAGTCACTGGTGATAGATAGAAATATATCTGATTTTAGAAACTATAAACATCTTTCAAATTGGTAACTGTATGAGGATAATTGAATATCCACTAAATTGAATTCTAGAGTACATAAAATAAATACAGACATTAAAGCATTGAAATGTCAAATACAATCAGGTCTAGTGCCTAAAGCATAGCATTTTCATAATATCAGACTTCAATAACTAAATTCAATGGCATTAACAACTTTCACTAGGTTAAAGGTAAATGTCAAGCTCATTATGTCATATGCCTTTGAGAGGTCAATTTTGTGAGTATATGTATGTCTCCACGTGTGTGTTTCGGTAAAAAAAAAATCCACATAGTATTCTAGAAACATAATTTGAAATTCAGAAGCTCAAAATCCAATTTGTAAAATTAAAATAGAAAAAAAAAATTGAGGGGTAGCCAACCTTAATTTTAGCCATCGAGGCATCTGTATTACCAGATTTCATGTCTGATTCATGGAATGATGATAATGAAGAAGGACCAGCATCATGGTTGACATTCATTTGAGACCTCAATTTTTTATCAATAGGAGATGCTTTATTGTTGCAGACATTAAGTGGCAGACCTTCGATATTCTCATTTGTGTCTATGTTATAATCTGATATACTTTTCAGCGGACTTGCTTCAGCAGAAGAAAATTTGAACTCAGACTTCAATGCATCATCAGATCCTTCAGTTCCATGTGAAGAAGGAAGCCAACAGAACTCCTCTTCATTATTGAGGCTCTCCATTCCAAATGTTAAGTCACAACTTCTGCAATTTTAAAAGTAATATTGAGATATTTATGGCGATAATGATGAATTGACTAGAATTTCATTCAAAGTAAGAGGTGGCAAACTTGTGTCACATAAGAGAATTTCTTACAACATCATCCTATCAACATCTTCAAAGTTTCCTATATTGAGCCACCCATCATTATCAAGAAAGCTGAGTTCATTGTCAGTTTGAGATATGTGATTGATTGAATATTGAGACACACTATCATCCTCCACCACGCACTTGCCTCCTAAGATGCTATCATCTGCACAAAGCTCACTACTACTAGAATCTACATTGCCACTCTTGAAACAATGATCAGACATCGTTGTATTATCTGACGATATCTTTTTCTGTTCTTTGCATGAGTCAGTATCACATGGAGAAAACAAATCTTCAGGTTTGTTGGTGTTTTTGTTCTCTCTCTGCTCCAGATTTGGTAAGCCCTCCTTTCCCTGAACTGTAATATGAAGAAAAATAATTAGAAAATTATTTAAGATAACCCGGCATCACAAAACATCATAAATCCTCACAAACACATAATCATACCCAATAAAACAATCTCAATTTTTTTTCTCCTTTAATTACAATATTCAGTAAATACATTGCTAATATCCCTTGTAAATGGATTTCATTTAATACCAGACAACATATGTTCAATCTCATATTTTGACCTAACAAACCCATAAAATTTTACATCTTAGTTGGCACATACAGAGCTGCTTCTTGTTTAATCTGACAAATTGAGACCACTCAGGAAGATTATCAGTTCTGCAGAAACTAATAAGGAAACAAAGTGCTGATGTATATGCAACTCAGGAGACCAGCTACCTTTTAGTCAGAACATTTAATGAAACTTTTTGCAAAAAAGTTAAACAGAATTGACATTAAAGTTTTAGCATGTCATAGCTTACCAAGCCTCTTTCCAAGGCAAGATTCTGCTACTTAGGAGACAAACTCAGAGTTATTGATCATTATCGATAACCGAGCTTGTGTGTGTGGTGGGTGGGAGAGCAGGGGCCAGGGGTATTGGAGTATATGATCACTCTGTATTACTGGTTGTAAGTAGTCTCCTAGTCTTCGTAGCAGCTGATTTGTTTAACTGTATCTGTCAGTTAGGATATGTAGCTATTACTTATTAGTCACATCAATGCTGAGTCAGCACTGTCATTAGCTTCCTCAACACTCTTTTCAGAGTCTACTCACTATTTAAATATGCACTCTCTCCATCTATTTCTGTGTTAATAAAACTCTTCATTTTCAGTTTACTTTCTCTGTTTTCTCGAGAATATTCAAATTCTATTAGTTAATAGTTATACAAACACTATCGCCATAATATTTTAGGAATCAAGGGAAGCATTTAACCTTAAACTTGAACTTGGGAAACAAAATATTTTCACTTAAGTAGGAGTAAAACAAAGAATATGTGTTTGCAATTTTAGCAAGAGACGACAAGAATGACTTGGAAGTAAAAATAGGTATTAGAGACCTCATATCGAATAGCGATAAGATCAAAATAACGTATATAAGTAAGAGACATCCTTCACCTTACTAATCGATTTTATAGGATTAACTTAGGTCCAAACTCACATTCTATGAATGAGAGAAACTATCATTCCAAGTGTCTCTAAATTTAAATTAAATATTTGGGATCAGTAACACAAAATGATGGAAAAATTAATGAGGATGTCACACATTAGAAGGACAAGAAGAGAAAAAAGTGGGAGTGGCAAAAATGAGAATATGTTTAGATAAATGTGTGGACAGTGGACACACTATAATAGATAGAATATGAAACGATTATATATGGAGATATTGATGTTGGTTAGGTGGTTTGATGTTTGAACACGTGCAAAGGTCACAGGAAGGGAGACACTAATGAGAAGTGTACATTGCCTGATTTTAGTCTAGGTGAAGAGAAAGTGACAAGAAGGGCATTAGAAGTTGTCAAGAGGAATCTCGGGATGAATTTCATCTTTAAAAATTTGGTCTTTAACCAGAGTCGAATAGCATCATGTGATCCATGTTATCAGTCTCAGTTACAAAACAGTACCCAAATTATTCCTATTTTAACACCCTAACAAATAAAGATGTTTTTCGTTGCTAATAGTAATGATGCTCATATATATTTTTAACATTATAATCAAACCATCCAAAACACTCAGCACCAATTTCGAATGTATTTGACAGAACACTAAATTAGCTAGAGAGACTTATATAACCATATCTTATGCCCTATCATATGCTAGGTGACCATGTCATTTGCCTACAATAAAAAAGCCAAAATCACATTCTAATTCTCAGGAAAGAAGCCACCGGTAGCAATCGTAACTATCCTCTCTCTTGTTTTTAAGCATGAAACAGCCCTCATAATCACAACATCACAAACCTGAATTTCTACTCACTTATGATCTTATACTACAATATTTTCAGTACGATACACCATAAATAAATTCACCAAAATAAAAATAAAAATAAGAGGCAAACGCTGAAAGTCGAAGATCTAGTACGTACAAGTTCATCCGAAGCCTAAGTTCGCAATAGATTGCGACTTTAAATAGAATAAATTTTCTTGCTAACAAATATAACACCGGCTATATTGCTAAGCCACATTTTTATTTTTAATAAAATAAAATAAAATCACATAAACTAAACTATGGAACCATTACCAGCCAGTTTACAAAAAAAAGGATGGAAAAATTCCAAATCATATCATAAAAGAAACAATTAGGAACTCTCTTCCAAAATTTAAATTAAATTAAATCAATTAAAAAAAGTTACAGAAAAAGAAAAAAAAAAACCTGAAATTAGAAGTATGTTTGCATCCAGCTAAGCGACCATAACCGGAGAAGCAGATTTTCCGATAGAAGGAGAGAGAATTTTGTTTTGAGGTCTGAGGTTGAGATTTCTAGGAGCTTCCAGAGACTTCTTTTCCGTCGAACTCGACTCTGCAACACAAGTTTTCTATTTCTTCTTTTTTAATTATTAATGAATATTTTATTTAATGTGTTTTGAAATTGAAGCGAAAGGTATCACGCACAGAAGGACACGTGGATATCAGAATTGGGAGTTCGTGGAGGGGAGTTAGGCACTGAGATCCGATCAGTTACTGCGTTTCTATTCGTCCACGTACGTTTTCCGTTTGATTCATTCAAACACAACTCCGCACGTGCCGTCATCGTGATTCTTTTCGCCCTGTTTTTTTCTACCGATACATATCGAATATTTTAATATTTTATTTTATTCCTTCTGTTTTTTCCTCCTGATATATTTTATTTTTATCTATGAGAATGATATGAATGAATAACATTGCACTTCATTTTCTTTATTATTTAAAGTTCCACTCCGACATTGGAAGATATTTTAATGTGCATTTGGACACACATTCAACACATGTCACCTCAAATTTATTCTTTTACGCAAAAATAATATATTATAGAATTTAATAACCATGTGTAGTTATATAAAATGATTTTACAATATCAATTAATTAAAATATGATTAATATAATTTTTAAAATAATTATCTTAAAAAATTAATAAAAATATCATACATAATAATTTATAATATTTACTTTTTATTTTCAATAATTAAACTTTTTTTTTGCATATATAAATACTTTTAAATGAATCAAAACCTTATTAATCATAATAGTATTAGACAAATTCTCTTCCACAATTTCGAGTTCAAATATTATGTATGAAAATAGTATAGTTGATTTAATGGAGAACTTTCATTAAAATTGATTAGTCAAGTTTTTTTGATAATGATTAATTATCAAATTTTAACATTTTTGTAGTAATAACATAATTATTATCAATAATTAAATATTAAAGTTTTTTTAAATGTTGAAATTATTTAATTAAATTTTGTTTTTATCAACAAATTAAAATTGATCAATCAAATTTTTTTATAATGATTAATTGTCAAACTTTAATATTTTGTAGTAATAACATAATTAAAAAAAACATCAATAATTAAATATTAATTTTTTTAAAATGTTGAGATTATTTAATTTTGTTTTTATCAACAAAACCTATTTTTATGCAAAACCAGAGGATCTAACCTTGTAAGCATATTTAAAGAGTTCACTGTAACTTGAAGAAATTAAATTATAATTATTAAGTACATTTTTGTCAACCTATTTACTTCATTATAAATCAAAATTTACACATTTTTAAGAATATATATATATATATATATATATATATA